TTGTATATGAAAGAGATTTTATAATAAATCTATTTTTCTTGACTATTTTGCATAATCGCACCCGAGGTGGTTTTTTTCCTCCTTTATTCATACACGTCGGTCAAAGATTTCCTCTGGTTTATTTGTAGCAACGTGCATGTTTATGCAAAAACTTGGAAGTGTTCTATTTAAACCTAAACTGAAACGGATCTTCTTTTTCTAAGATTTGATTCGCAGTTGAGAGAATTCTCGCGAGAGCGAAATTGTAGAAAATAATTGAGTATTTTATTTTGAACACTGGCGTGCAAGGGTCTTGAGTATCAGGCGACACTTTTCTAAACAAATTTATTTTGTACGATGTTTTTTTAAGACTGATCCATTACTTTTGATCTCGGCAGAGCAGATCGCTTACGTTTTCGGAAAGATAAATAAATTTTCTTTTTCCCTTTAAAAAAACAACCTCAAACAATGTTTGCATTAACCCAGTAATAAAACATGGATTGACTCTTTTCTTCTATCTTTTTTTATTTATTTATTTTATTTATCAAAAAGAAATTTTTTGAATATTTTTGTGGTATATATATTATTATTATTATTATTTGCTTTGAATATACAGTAAAACAGAAACTCGAATCGAATATCCAATGTATCTTGCTAACAATTGTGGAAATTTAAATTATTAATGAAATCTGAATTATTATTGAACTTATGGTTAGTTTAACCACTGTCGATTTTCTTTTAATTTTTGCGGTTTTTATTTCCAATTACAGAAAAGCTCTTGATAATTACGAAAAATTCCTAATTCTTTTAATGCACCTTATTGTTCTTAAATATCTCTTTAAAAAAAATACTTGTAAATTTTTTGAACGATTTTAACAAAATTTTTATAAATCCGGAATTTAATCTTTAAACTATTAAATGTGGTAAGTATTACATTATTATTCGAACTAAATATAACATTCAATTGTTTTCAGCTTGTATTTCAATATTATAACCGAAAATTATGTCCATTTTTTTTTTATATTTCTCCTACATATTTTTAACTATTATATATTTTATTATTGTACTTAACCCATTTTAGATTTAAAATCAATTAGTTTTAACATCATTTTTTTAAGGTAATCATCGACTTAAAAGTTTATAAAAAAGTTTGACGTAAAGTTTATGAAAGTTATGTTTTTGAATTAAAAAATAAAAATGGCGATTATTTATTTTATGATCTTCAAATTTTCATTGCATATGAGAATTTCCGAAAATAGGAAGCAAAAGTAAAGTGACGAGAATGCCATGATTCAATAACATGATTTCGATATAAAATCTAAACATGCGCGATAATGTTAAATAAATATAAAATTGTATATTCTTGAAAAAATTTTAATTTAAAAAAATATTTTGAAACGTTTTGTTGATTATCAAGCGTCGTTACGTTACGTAAGAAAAATATATATTTCATTGAATTCCAATTGCAATTCTCCAAACTTGAATTTACAACTATACTGCTGTACTTCTTTTTACAAAATATAATTCTTGGTTAATTTTTCAGTTCGCAGTTTGTTAATAGTTTGTTAACAGATATTATTTCAGAACTAATAAATATTTATAAAAAAAAAACATTGAATTGAAAAAAAAAAGAAAAAGGGAAATTCAACTCAAATATATTACTGGAATAAAGTTTAAGCACGAAAATATTATCTCCTGTAGGAAACTTTATTATGGCCTAAAAAAAATTAATGAAATAAAATGACAAATAAATAAATAAATAAAGTTCTTAGAACTTTATACAGTCTGACCATCCCGGGATATAGTGAACACTATCTTGTGAGCGTTTTCAGCTTTCCCGTCAGATCTGCTATTTATCTGTGATTATTGCATTCGCATATAGTGAACAGCTAAAAAATTGGTCTAGTTCCTTCATAGGGAACTCAATCTCCTTTTTACGGGGATTTAAATAAATGTTATAAAATGTTTAGTCAATGTGATAAGTTTGAAAGTATATAATTGTAGTTTTTAATTAAAAATTAAGCAATATACACGTTTTAAAAAATGCTTGAAATTAAGTTTTTTTTTTTTTTTTTCAATACACGTTGTTCTAAAAACAGGCACAGGGGAGAGTGAATTGGGTGCGCTATCTTACTTCAAAAATGTCAAAAACATAAGAAATGAAAATAAAAAAAACATCTAAAAAATTCCAATAATGGCGTTGATCGGAAAGATGAATGTTTTAAAAATTCGTTATAGAGACAACCACTTCGTTGTATGTAGAAAATTTTGACTGTCTATAAAATTTGTTCAATTGAAATTTTCTTTATAAAAATTAGCTGTTAAGAAGCTTCGTAGTAGAGAGATTCTACTTACTTACTTAGTTAACAATTTAAAAAGTAAATTGTCTACTTTTGAAAATACTGTTTCAAACAATGCTACTGCAATAACCTAAAAAATATTTTTCAGAGATATTGAATTTAATAAACCTTAAACCAGGGGTCCCCANACTGTTCTACTGCAATAGCCTCAAAAATATTTTTCAGAGATATTGAATTTAATAAACCTTAAACCATCGTAGGCTCTGACAGTTTACTACCGTAAGGTCCTACTGTAGATGTTAAGCCAGTGACGAAGCACAGTTGAAACGATGAAAAGGAGGGAGAAATTTGATATAAATGAATTCAATGCGTTTTCTTTACTTTTAATCTCTTTTTGCCTGAAGTCATTAAAAAATATACATTAAGAAGCTTATTTCTCGACTTTGTCGATTGCATAAATAAATGAAATATTGTATCGACCTAAAAGCATACATTAATTATTTTTAAAGTTCACATAATACATACATATTAATGTAAAGATTAACTTTACTTAATACTTTGATCATTTCAACTTCCGTTTTTTATTTTTAAATCTTGAATGAGGATGTAGTTATGGATTTCTTGACATAAGCTTATTACGCCAAATAAATTATCTTTTTTTCTACTAATTATTCAAAGTTTGTTAATTTTGATCAGCCTGATTAAAATGATTTTTCAAAACATATTTCGGTTGAGTTTAATTTTTAAAATTTATAAAATTAACTGGATTTAGTTTTTTAATGTGTTCTAAATAGGGTGCTTACTTCATTGTTCTCAACTTTCTTTTTTACGTCACAGCTTTTTTTTCTAACTTATTTCGGTGAATGTGAATATCGTATTTCTTTTGAACTGGTAGTGTGTGATTAAACTAATCAAAAAGATTTTTTTCTCCCTGTACATGATAAGAATTTTGCTAGAGATGTGTTAATCAATTTTATATAGACCCATATTGGGCTTAAGAATGTAGTAGTTTTATTTATAATTAAGAAAATCATATCCCAACTCTCAACGGTCTAAGATGCGATATTTTTTCGTATTTTTAGAACTTTTAAAATAGTTAAGTTAGTTGTCGGTTCTACAGCCTTCATGACAAGATTATATACATAGTTTAAAATCATCGCATTGCTTTAAGTGTAAGACGCAGAAACTATGGCTTTTTTTTTTTTTTTTTTCCTTGGCGATAAAACTTCGAAAAACAGCGTTAATTCTGCAAGTTTAATTTATCTCCAAATAAGATTTGTCGTCAACCCCTTTCGTCTAGCTTCAATTTTCTATTGGAGCTCTGTGTTTAATGACAAGGCAAGTTTGGAAACGGTGACCGCTAAAGATAGGATTGATTGCGATGATGGAAATTACAGCCAAATAAAATTCTTCATCACCGGTACTTTTTACCGTATTTCAATTCGGTATTTATTACAGTCTATAGCGTAAGCAAATCAATATTTTTCGCTTCCAACAATTAATTTATTATTATCAAGCCTAATGATCTGACGGTAGAAAAGTTATGTACAATACCGTAATTCATCATCGGTAATTCTTTTATTTGGTTTGAAGTGCTGAGCAAACGGAACTTCTTTGTAGACTTCTCCTGGGTAGTTGACTAAAAGTCTACTTAAACTTGTATAAAGAGGCCATCTTTGGGGACGAATCAGTAAATCTTTTTGTTCTTCTGTATTGTAAAAGTCTTTCTTTTTTTCTTGGTTTTCTCTTTCATCTCTTATCCTTAAATGACTTTTTATCTTCAGTTTTTTTTTAGATAAACGCATTGTTATTATATTGAATGCGTTAAAAAAAGATACATTTTTAAAGGTTTTCATATCTGTATTGTTATTAAGTTTTATGTTTATTAGTTTTTATTATTTTTATCATATCTTTAAAAAAATTTCATTCATAGATAGAATTTTGTTCTCCATCTTTCTACACATACTAGTTTAATATTCATGCTAGTTTAGTACTCGAACCTGCAACTTTCTAATTTCGTTCAAACAATTCTGTTTCCCATCTGGTAATTTATGCATTTTGCTCCGATTTTCAAGATTACGGTATATAGTCTTCGTCTGACCTGCTGTTAGTTTCTTTGTGTTTTTCTTGGGGCAGTCTGATAGTTTGCGGTAATTTGCCGCCAACAGCAGAAACTGCATCTACACTGACTGCATGACCTCCACTTTAATATCTTAGCATTTTACGGATATAATACATTATTTGATATTTTTTCATATTTAATAATTGAATTAAACGGTTGTATTCATTCATATTGAAATGAATAAAAGCTTATGAAAATTTTATCGTGATAGTTAAAAGAAATATGCCGTTTGCAACTATCATTTTTTTATTTTTACGTTGTCATGTTGAATTTAGAAACTGATATCAAGAATTTTCTAAATAATAAAAATTAATATTCTTTATTTTACAAAAAATAAGTTATAAGTTCAGTAAAAAAAAAAAAAAAATGGAGCGTGTTTTTATTTTTACTATAAACAAATACTTTTGTAACGAAAAACCTCTGCCATTATTTTGGTTCTTAATTTTTGTGTAATTCTGTTCGGTCTTTTAAAAGATAAGAATAATTTATAAGACAAAGAAGAAAAAAATGTTGTAGAGGTCCCTATTATGACCGCTTCTGTATCCATAACAATTTATGATGAGAAATGGTATATTAAAATGTGTATTTTGTTTGTTTAGATTTATCCTGATCCAGATGCAGAGGTGGCCATCATGGGCTCCATTGTGTACTGTATCCATTACAAAGATGGCTGTAAATGGTCAGATGAATTAAGGAAGTTACAGGTAAAAATTATTCTCGTGTTTTTTTAATTATTTGTTATTATTCTTTGATTAATGCAGCATTCACTATAGTAATAATTTAATAAACAACAAATTTAGAATGAAATCTAAGAATTTCAAAGACGGAAACAACAGTCCAGCGGAAAATATGTTTGAAAATAAAAAATAAATTTTTTAAGAAACTAAAATTTCCTTCAGCAATAATAGTCTTTAAAAAAAGTGTTATAAAGCTTTAAGCTGAAACGCAGAGTTTTATTAAAATAATGTTGAAAAGGCAGTTAAGTGCGTTATCATAAAAATGATTTAGAAATTCTGAATTATCAAGTAAAAATTAAAGTTCTGTAATAGGTAACTGGTATACTATAAATAAGTAACTAGACTGGTCTTTGAATTTTTNTTATGATTGATTTAAATTTGTTTCAAGTATTTTGTAATAATATTTAATCAGCAATTTAGATATTTTGGTTTTTGCCGGTTTTTACCAGTTTTTGCCGGTTTTTACCAGGTTTTTGACACTGTCCTGGCGAAAAACCCTTTTTGCCGGCAAAAACTCCAACCCTGGTAAGAGCTTTAATGTAATATTAATGATTTAATCTAGTTTAGTTACATTTTTCTTTACTCCATATTAAATATATGTTACTATATTATTACTTATTTTATTTATCATGTAAATAAATATTTTAAGATGTAATTATTTCACCAAATAATTCAAAATTGATAGGATGTTTAAAAACTATATTTATGTTTTCTATAAGGAATTACTTTTATAATGAAAAGTAAAATTAAACTATTTGATGTCTCAACACTTCTAGTCATTAACTTTGACATAAAATAAAACGAGAAATTACTTTTGACATCAATAATTTCGTATACGAATGTTTCTTGATCACTTGTCAAAGAAAAATTTATAAATAATATGTAAAATTTCAAACTGGAAGACAACTGCCAGGCAGAGGCAGGCCTGGAGGAAGTTGATTGAGAAGGCCAGGGCCCACCCGGAGCTGTCGTGCCATTGAGGAAGGAAGGAATATGTAAAATTTCCTAATGTTTCATCCAAATGTTTAAATGTCATAGTGAGAGGTTTGAAGTTTTCATCAACGATGGCTGTGGTTGGCAAAAATAATATTTTTTTAAATGTTTTTTTACATTTACCAGCGAAAGTATCTGGTAAAGATGTATTAATAATACTCAATATTATTTAAAAAATTATATCATAGCTAAAATAGTTATCAGTTCTTTCTAGAATAGTTAAAATTATTATTTCATTATTAAAAATTTATCATTAAAAAAATAAAATCATAGTTAGGTTTTTCAAGCTCAGCTGTGCTGACGAAATGTTAAAGAATAGGAGACTATTTGTCATTTAGATATCTAATGACGAGTAAATCAGTTTAAATCAAAAAACATAAACTGAAAAAATTATTTTAAGTTACTCTGGGTAGAACATCTCTTAACACACACAAACTGTAAATTTAATAAGTTTTAAAAACACTGCATTTAAATAAGCGTCAAACTAAATGGGTATAATTAAAATTATATTCTGTACTTAAGTTAATATTTAAAGAAAAAGCCAATTTCTTTAAAAAATTATTTCTTTTAAATCAATGTTTATCTAAATTAACGCTTTTTTTCGTAAATAATAAAAAGGACGTGCATGCAGCCATAATAATTTGCATTTATATCCCTTTCATTATTTTTAAATTTATTATTACTAAATCATTCATTATTCATTTTACTTCATTATTACTAAAACCTGACTTTAAAAAATCGCCCTCTGAAGAATGTATTTATTGATTATATTGAAGAAAAATTATTTTATATTTGAGTTCATATTTTTTTCTTTAAAATTTTCAATTAATTTAAATAATGAGATTTTAAAAAATCACAGTTGATTTCGATTAATAATTTTTTTTAAAAAATCAGGTAATTTAAATCACTATAAAAATTCCAAGTGCTACTACGTTAGTACTAGTCCTATCACTAATAAACGTGCTACTTTCCTGGATGGAAGTTGTACTTTAAAAAATAAAGAAATAAAATTAGATTGCATGCAAAAGTCATGCAACATTTCGTTAATTTCTATTTTCTATAAATGAAAGATTTGGGATTTATTTATTTATTTATTATTATTATTATTATTTTTTGCCCGAATTAAATTTAAGTCACCTTTTCATACATTGTAGGTTTTAGAAAATTGTTAAGTTAATGCAAGCTAAAAAGTAAGGGAATAAAAATAAAACGATAGTTAAACAAAACAAAAACAAACAAAAAAATTAATGATAATGTATAAAATTGCAAGATTTATGTTTGACTTTATTTTCTTTAAAAGATTCTTTTATACACGGTCTAGGCACCATTAGCAATATATGAATGATGCAACTTACATCGAAGTATGAACTCCCAAATGCAAGTTTGAAAGAAGATTTAACATGTCTTTTCCACCATTAAGATAAAGTTTTCTTTTCCCCTCTTCTGACACCCTCACATCCGGGATTTATTTTCTTTTATTTTTATACCAAAACTGAAAATTAAACTCGCCATCTTTTACCTCTTCATAAAAAAAAGAGGAAAGAAAAAAGGGTAAAAATAGAAGGAGAAAAAAAAAATTCACTGCATATTTATTTTTCCACTTTTACGTCCAGTTTGCTATTAAATAAAATGATTCACTCAAAAAGAAAGATTGGAATTTTCGAACATTTTTATTCTTTAGAATAAACTTTCAGAGGTTGGAAAAGGAAAATGAGTTGTTCCATTAAGAGAAGAAAATGAAAGGGGGCAGGGTAACCTTTTTTTAGTTTATTTTTAATCTCAGTTTCGTTTTTGAGATAAAGCGAGTACTTTCTGGCGGTTATAGATACCAAATTTATGGCGTTGCATTCAGCATTTCTGCCGGCTCAGTTAGATGATATCTTTTAAAGATGTAATGAAAAACAGCTGTGAAAATAGGTTTTCTTTCATTTAAGAAAATAGCTTGCATCCAAAATGCATGTTCAAATTGAATTTTTTCAAGAGTTTTAAATCCACGTCATTTATTGCGTTTAAAATAAAATATTCATAATAGTTCGCTTGCCGTGGATTTTTTTTTTTTATTTTGATTAAATTGTTGTTAAATTTTATTACAGTTATATTTCTTTTTTTTTTTTTTTTTTTTTATCTNTTCCCGCCATTTTATTTTTTTTTTTTTTTTTTTTTTTAATTTTAACGTTCTACGTGTCATTAAATTCTTTAAATAATTTTTTATATTGACATTATGTTTTAAATTATTCGAAAGAGTATGTTTTGTTTTACCGGAATTTATGCATTTCTTATTTAGTTAATGTTGATTTTCAGATCAACGTAATGTCAAGCTGCAAAAAAAGATAATTTTTTTTTTTTTAAATTTCGCAAAAGTGCTGTGTATGGACTCGTGAATGACATGTTAAGTTAAAAATGGATATTTTGTCCTCTAAAGCGGCATCTTGTTCTGGCTGTCCAGTTTAGTTCGATAAAGAGCGACTAAACCAATCTTTGCACGAAAATTCGCTTTTTAATGACAATGTAACTGGCAGAAAAAATTGAATGCTTCCATGCTTAAAAAAAAATAATGATAAAACTGCGGGAACTTCATTGCCTACCCAATTGTTTCAGTTATAGATAAAATGTTTTCAAAATCCATTTAAATTTAACTAATAAGTTATTAATAATATTGCATTAATATGCAAATTGATATTCATAATTGATTGCATGGAGAATTCATTAATTAATATTCCAAGCGTTTTGTAACGATTAATTATGGGATACGATGACAAAGAATATTTTAAATTTCAGTACATCATGTTCACAACTAATGTAATATCCTTTTTCTAATCGTAAGGAAAACACCACACCATTTTTAAATTTTCTTTCTCTAAGCATATTGTGTGTAATAACATGTTAAAAATATAAAAAAAAATTTATGTTGGAAATTTTTTTTGTAAATAAATTGTAAATGTCTATTTATTTCACGTAGAAAACAATTTTTTCCCGATCATTTGTCAATATTGCAAAATTTTAAAATTTAATTAAAAAAAAAATCATATGCTACATGGTGACTTTTTTATTCTAGTTTTTAAAAGTTTTTTCTAGTATTGCGCAACTTTTTTTAAAACTAGACAGTAGGAATTGGTTTTCAAGAGCTGCAATTATTGCAGTTTTTTAATATCACGGAGTCATTACTATTCTAATTTTTAAAATTCTCAAATATTACTTTCGAATTTCAAGTATTATTCTCAAGTATTAAAATTAAAAAGTAACCTATATCTTGAAATGTTGTACTTTGTAGGGCCACCTGAATATGTGTAAATACGATGCCATTCCCTGCACAAATCACTGTGGTGCTATGATTCCAAGATTAGTGATGGAAGACCATCTTCTATATACTTGCCCCAAGAGAAGAACGCGTTGCGAATATTGCTCTAGGGACTTTACTGGAGAAACTTTAGAGGTAAAATATTTATACTCTTTATTTTTAATTTATCAAAATTTTATTTTAAATATTCCGATGCTTTTTTATGTATATTTTAATTCGTTAGTAGCTGTGCAATTTTTCGTGAAAAATCAGAATTAAACATCGTGATAACGATATTTCAAATCGTCCTCTCGGGATTTAGAGTGAATTCCATGCCCTCCGATAAATAACGAAATAAAATAATTAACGACGACGATAAACATCGCAATCGTTATATATATATCGGACACGATAATATCGCTAGTGTAATCCTTCTGCATTTGGGTCCGTTATCGGACCCTTCACAAAATATCATTTCATAAAAACGAACCCTTCACAAAATGATTTTTTTTTTAATCGAACCCTTCACAAATTTGTTTATCTTTATTCTTGTTTTGTTAATTGAATAAACCCCTCCTGGAAAAAGTTTTTTGCAATAAGGACCCTATTTGCACAAATTCATAAAAGCAGGACCCTGGTTGAAAGAATGTGACTTAACGTTTATTTTATATTCACAAATTATGAATAATTTTTCCAAAATTTTACAAAAACAGACCTTTTACAAAATGTCTGGTCAGACCCCTGAGAATATTATCGTGAGTGCTGATAAATTTCATTTGGAATGCAAAAATTTTGCCTAGTTAAAAAATAGTATAAATTTAAATTTGAAAAAAATATTGTGAAACGTCGATACCTTTTTATGATATATCCAATTAAAAATTACGATATGGCTCAGCACTAGGTGCAAGTGTCAGATGTTTTGAAGCGAAAAATTATTGTTTCGTTTTAATCATAAATTCAATAAGACTAAATTAAAAATTACTGAATTTGAATGTCCTATATATAATGGGAACTATATTCTTTCAGAATCATGTGGGAAGCTGTCAGCTGGAACCTATCTATTGTGAAAATAAATGTGGTTCCAAAATTCAACGACGTCATCAGAGTAATCACCGATTACATGAGTGCACAAAGCGTCTCATTCCCTGCAGATACTGCCAAAAAGAATTTGTTTACGACACTTTACAAGTAAGTAATGTGCAACCTGTGTGTTGAAGACAATTTTGTCTTTAAGAAACATTTAAATTCTTAATATAATTGAAGATAAACCCCGAGAGAAAATATTGAATGTAGAAAAAATTGCTTGCAGTTTAAGGTTATTTTAATTTATCTATATCCCTTGGATACAAATAAAACAGAAAATAATCTTTGAGTCGCGATGACTTTATGGTTAGAGCACTTTAGCTGACGTAGTGGACAACTAGGGTTCTAAATGCGGTGGTGGCTTGCAATCCACTCACTTTCAGATCGATGGGTACCTGCTTGTCTGGGAAATAAAGGTGGCCAGTATGTCTTGCTGACCATAATGCCAACGTCATGATGCTTCTCACATATTAGTGGAACTCACATTTTTTTTTATCATCAATTTCTTCGAGCTGTTTTTCCTATAAACTTAAAAAAATACAAGAATTATTTTTAAAAAAATATATGTGTTTTATTACACAGAAGTATTATATTATATAATTTTTTTAAAAAATATATATAACTAATTTTTTAGCATACGTATTCAAAAATATTGACAAAAAAAACTCTAAGGCTAAAATAATAAAGCCTTAACAACTTAATGAAGCCTTATAAACAAATAATAAAGCCTTGACAGCTTACAAGATGGCAGCTATTTATCGTCATATTGATTTTCTGGTTTTTTGTTTCATTAAGTATCAATTTGAAACGGGTTATGTTAAATTCATTAACACGTAATTAATACTATTCCTTTTGATTCAAGCATTCTCGTGAAATGCCTTTTACTTTTTTAAAATTGTTTAGAAATGTTGTTAAATGAAATGTATTTCAGATCCATACTGCTAAATGTCCCCGTCTTCCCGTGACCTGTCCAAACCGATGTGACATCCTAAAAATTGCCAAAGAAGACTTAGAAACTCATTTGAACGAGCATTGTTCCGCCCTCATCTTGCCCTGCTCTTTCAAAGAAATGGGGTGCAAATTCAAAGTAAGTCACGCATCATTGTTACATTTTTTTTGTATTCTAAAAATATGCTTTGCACAAAATAATACCGTATAAGAAATCATTATTAAAAATTATTTTCTGCACGGAATTATGTTTTAATGACGATAAATAAATAATTTTGTAGAAAAATCTTTCGACTCGCTTAAAAAGTTCACGAGATATGGTGAAATGTACAAAAAAAGAAGGTAAAATTAGCATTAATGAGATCAAATTTTGGTCCGTTATTCTGATCTAGCTATTGGGACCATATTTGGTAGATTAAGGCTTTCCCCTATATTTTGAGGGCCTGATCCGCCGAAGATATATTAATTCAGAGAAAGTACATTTTGTGTCTGATTTCATAACTTAAAATGTCTTCTACACTACTATTAGCAAATGTCTTCTGCACTAGAGGTCACCCCCTCGGACCAGTAAGATATGAGTCCTAGAACATGAAGATCTGACCATCAGATCAAAATTTATTCAGGGTGACCTTTTTTTTCTTTTTTTTTTCTTTTTTGCTCTGGGTACAACATGCTCTTTCACTACTATTCTACTTTCTCAAAAAAAGTATTCTCTAATAGATAATCATTTTCATTGAAACGTAATACTTTCTGTACCGTACAGAATGAAATCTAAATGAAATCGGTCAAATAGTTTCTGAAGTAAGAATGAATGTTGAATGAAGTTTCCGAATGGAATTATCGATTATCATTAGATAAAAATTATAAGCAAAACGTTTGTGATTAGCTTAAAAAGCTTTTGAGCTATGGCAAAATCCACGAAAATTGAAATTAACATTAAAGAATCCAAATTTTCGTCTGCTCTCCAGCCTAAAATATTGGTACCATATTTGCCAGACTCAAACTTATGTTTCGAGGATCAGGGATCCAAAATTGTCTAAAAACATGTATGTTTTCAGTGTTATTTAGAGAAAGAACGTTTTGGCGTTTGATTTCGTAACTTTAAATATTGTCTGAACTATTTAATTAACATATTTAAGGTTAGGCCTTACCTGAAAATTCGATTACCAGATCGAAAGTTATTCAGGTTGTTAAATTTTATGAAAATAAAATTCGATTAAAAAAAAAAAACAGTATACAATGAAAATATATTCTTAGAGCAAGGAACCATGACTTTTTAACCTTGGTTCTGTCCTCATACTTTTAATAATTGGTATATTTTTACAAGTCAATGCAGATTTTGCATTAAAATATGATTGTATTTTAACAGTTAAGATTTACTTATTAAAATATAGCCATTATCGGAAGTTCAACTGTTACTTTTCAGGGATCTGTTTAGGAGAAAAACGGACCCTTTACAAAATATTTTTTCATAAAAACGGACCCTTCATAAAATATTTTAACTTAAAAACGGACCCTTCAAAAAATAATTTATCTTTTAATCGGACCCATCAGAAATTTGTTCATTATTGTTTTGTTAATCGAAGAAACCCTTCTCGGGAAAGGGGGGGGGGGAGACGGACAGATGTAAACGAACTAAATTTTGTCTCCAGCAGACGCTTCTTCCTTTATTCGTCCGAAATGAATATTCTGCGTTCAGCAGTAAAGGCTAAATACCAAATTTTTGTATGTTGCATCGCTAATTTAGTAGCAGCAATTGCTGTTTATTTTTTAAAATTTAATTTTTTTTATTATTATTTTACAGTGTTGAGCATTATCTTGTATCTCTTTGCAATTTAAAAACTCCTTGAAAAAGTTTTTTGCAATAACAGGACCTTATTTGCACAAATTCACAAAAGCAGGACCCTGGTTGAAGGAATGTGAATTAGCGTTTATTTCACACTCACAAATTGCGAGTCATTTTTTCACAATTTCATGAAAACGGACCTTTCACAAAATGTCTGGTCAGACCCCTGCGAAAGTTCAACTGTTACTTTTAATAATGGCTATATTTTTACAAGTAAATGTAGATTTCGCTGTAAAATATGAAGATTTAAACTGTATTTTTTCTTTCTTTTAGGGCACCAGATCAGCTGTCGATCAGCACTTAGAAGAAGCTTGCAAACCTCACCTCTCATTAGTGTGTAGCGTAGTGTCCAGGCAGCAGCACCAAATCAGCAATCTCCGTGCTGCCGTGCAGAATCTAACTCTCAATACCTCTGGTACTATGTTGTGGAAGATCACGGACTACACCCGGAGACTCGGTGAGGCCAGGGACGGATACGAACTGGTCAGCTCTCCTTTTTACACCAGTCAGCATGGCTACAAACTGATGGCCAGTCTTTTCTTAAATGGCAATGGGACGGGGGAAGGCACACACCTATCTGTCTATATTAAGATACTCCCTGGTGAATATGACGCACTGTTGCCGTGGCCTTTTAGTCATACGGTTACTTTTGTCCTCTACGACCAGTCGCCCACCCAGGAAACGGCCTGCAACATTGTCGAGAGTTTTGTGCCGGACCCTACCTGGAAGAATTTTCAGCAGCCCAGCAAGGAACCTGATGCACTGGGTTTTGGCTTCCCGCGTTTTGTATCCCATGAGATTTTGAAGAAGAAAAATTATATCAAAGATGATGTGATGTTCATTAAAGTTAGGGTGGATGGCAACAAGACGGTTGCAGTATGATTGTTTTTTTTTACCTCCCCATAAACATGACTGTAAATATATTTCAGAGAGTTTTTTTTTTAAAAATTGTAATTGTGTGAATTTTGTATTCGGAAATGTTGCAACATTTATGAAAAATTATGTTTTCTGTCGCTGAATCTGTTCTTTCCATTCATTGTAATCTGTTTGATTTCTGTATTTCATTGATTCTAAAAAAAAAATTTATGAGTTTCATTAGGTTTTTAATTATAATATGCCAAATTACTTATTACAAGGATTTGATTTGCGTTTAGTAAGCCAAATTGCTTATTTCAAGGGATTTGGTTTAGGTGTTTAGTAAGCAAAATTACTTGTGACAGCGGATTTAATTTGTGTTTTGCAAGCAAATTAAGTAATTGATTTTTGCTAAATAAACCAATTTACTTGAAGGATATAGTTTGTGTTTAATAAACCGTATTTATTTCAATGAAATCGGTTTGTATTTTGCAAACCAACTTATTTAATCAAACACAGACAGTGACAGAAAATTTCTTTTATTCATTAAACAATTTTGTCTTTCAACTAAACATTTATTCCTATTTACTTTAACATATTTTTTATTTATATGCTTATTCATCACGTTGAAAATTTTTAATAGCCTTTCAAATGTGCTATGTATACTCTAAAAGCCTATACAGTGGAAATCGAATTTGCAAAGCCATTATTTTAAAATTTAGTTTTTCTAACTTGATTTTAAAATAATGGCTTAAAAATTGAACGAAATCAAATATAATAGAAAAGATAATGCATATTTATTTTCGTTTGCAAAGAATTTTTTTTTTTTAATGTTTGTTAATGAACATTATATATAGTTTTTTTAATATTCGTTAATGAACAGATTATAGAATAATACTTTTTTCTAATAAGTTATTCTTCTTAAAAAACAGTTGAGATTGTTTCTAAAATTTTAATCTGAGGTATGTTAATGTGTTATTCATTAATGCAGTTAACTGTTGTATAAGTCTATAATTAGTTTTCAAAAAATATAATAATATTTTAAGGAACTTAATCATTTAACATTCTAATTCTTAAAATTAATATTTTTAAATTGTTACTTTAGTTATTTTGCATTATTATTGCGTGTCTTAAAATTGAGCGTAATTGTTGGAATTGCTTATCTACTTAATTTGAATACTCTGAACCATGTTTTTCATAATTTTAAATTGTAAAATTGTTGAAATTTTTTTTGAGGGAGAGAGAGATAGAAAGAGAGAAAATTAATTCAATAAATTTTTAGTGATTTCAATTTGATTTATTAGTAAACTTTTATTACCGTATTTGTTTAAAATTGGTCTTTTTTTGTGATGTTTTAATTGTATTTAGTTTTTCATTTTGTATATCTGTATTTTTTAATTAAACTGAGCATTAATATCAAAGGATTCGTATTAATCTTAGATTTATTTTTTAAAAACAAGAGTGTGTGACATGGTTATGCTTTTTTTTAAAAAAGAAAAAATTTTGTAGTTTTATCGATCAAATCTTTTTTTTCTTTTACACTTGAATTATTTGTAATCACATTTTGCACTTAGTCGTTGATTTGTGTGATAAAATATTGTACAATTTCGCTCTTTTTTTCTTTTGCTTTGTATATAGAAACATTGTTAATTTTGTCATATTTTTATACTTATGCTTTGTATAGATAATCTTTGCTTAATTTTTAATCTCGTGTGTACGTGTATTTAGTCATATTAAAGAGTCGTGCATAGGTTTGATAAACATTTGTTGTATTCAAGGGTAATGTTGTGTAAAGAAGCATCTGATATTGCTTTTTGTCTGACACCATTGTAAACTAGTCATTGAATCAGTTATAGTAATTAGCCATCTAAAATAAAACTGTTTAAAGTTGTCATTTGTTTTTATTTATTAACAACAATAATAAAATTAATTATTTTCAGATGATCATCAATACACACTCACGATACACCTTGAATTACACTTTTGATTTTAAACTGAGCATTAATATCAAAGAATTTGTATTAAAATTGCACTTGTTTTTAACAGGGCTGATTGTGCTCCGGAAAAAATCCGGATTTCCGGGATTTTTGCTAACAGTGATGAGGAAGTTTCCGGAGATCGAAGGTCCAGATGTTTCAAAAAATCATTGATCACAGAAGTTTCTGGAAATCAAATTTTCAAAGGTGGAACTTAAAAACACAGTTTATTTTATTTGTTTGTAAGGGAGAGCCAGAGAGATACTTTATAAGCTTATATTCATGATTAATATTCATTTTTTATAAGTAAATAGTTGTTACAATCATAAACTCAAGAAAGAGAGACATATTTGTAAATTTTAATTACTTCTCCAGGTCATCATAGGTATGTGTATATGGTATAAGTATGTGTAAAATTTTAAATATATTTTGAGTAAACTGAGAAATATTGAGAAAAAGGAAGTAAAAAAACTTCTTTAAATTTTTTTCAATTTAAAATTTTTTTTTTTTTTTAACTCAAGAAATTTTCCGAAATTTTGACTTAGGATCACAATCACCCCTGTTTTAAGAACATTAACAATTTTAAATCGAAAACATTTCCACGAAACAATTTTAAAATTTAAGTAAAACATTAAATATTTGAAAGTATGATTCGCATGGAATTATCTTTCGATAAGCGAAATTATATTACACCTTTCATCAAACCACCATGACTTCGAACGAGACATTGTCGTCTAGCAGAAATATTAAATTTATATCTATCCCAGTTGTAAAATAAGATTAAAAAAAAAACTCATTCTAATATTTTATTGACGTGAGGAAGTAATAAATTAGAATACTATTTATCCACGCACTTCTCCAGTATCGTATTTTATACACCGGTTATCATAAATTAAGGAAAACTTACAAAAATAGCGATAACTCCCAAAAAATAAGCCTATCCCATTGAAATTTGAATATATCGTCAAATAAGAGTTGCTAAAAGAACGAAACGAGGACATGTTTTGGTTTCCCAACGCCTTTATTTAATTAGCTTATTGTTCTTAAGCCTGATATTTTTTCGATGTAAGCCTATAACTTTAAAAGAATATTGTCGATCCATAACAAGATTCATAGTATTCTTGATATAGCTAGTGAATGAAGAAAGGAAGCACACTGTAAAATATGGATACTCAAATACTATCGCGAAACTTTCTGCGTTTTTTCTGGTATGTGCTCAATGAAAAAATTTGTCAAAGTGACGAAATAACTTATCGTCATTTCTCCGAAAAAATGAATTTCGTCAAAATTTGAAAAAAATGCTTCGTCATTTAAAAAAATTTTTTTTAGCACCTTATGTATCGAACTTTTCTAATAATCACTTCATCGTGGTCACCATGTAGGTGAATTAACGTCACCCAAACAACACAAGAAAGACTGATAGAAAGGAGAGATAAATTACGCCTGTGCCCGAAGCGGGATTTTCCCGGTACGAGGTCAACTCTTTGACCTCGTACCGGGACAGTCGGTCGGCATTATTCTCACTTTATTTTCGATTGTCTAGTCTTCATTCTGGTTTTTTTTTTTCATCTAGTTAACAATTTCTCACAATGTACTACGATGAGATTTGGGCCGTGGTGGCTCAAAGGATAGATCGTCTGCCTTCCAATGAGGTGAACCGGGTTCGAATCTCAGCGATCGTGGTTTTCCTTTCCATGTAACGTAAATGGGATTTAATTCCATCAAAAAGTCTTCCACGAAGGCAAATTTCGCCCAATAATAGGTCTACCCTTATGAAAAAATCGAGGTATATTTTAAAGGTATAAATGAGGTTGTTGTTTAATTACGTCGTAAAGTTTGAAAAGGGTGCAAATGAATACCTAAAAATCAACCTCAAATATACCCCCAGAGGTATATACAGTGACAGAAAATTTCTT